CCACTTGCTCTCTAAGGTCGTGGACCATCTGCGTTGCCTAAATTATCATGTAATTTCCGAAAAGATAAGAAAACTGCCTTAAGAGGTTTGCTATACTCTGCATTGGGAGACTCCCACGTCCATCGCTGAGAAAGAGGTTTTGGAATTGCGAGTTACCATGGATGGTTTGGGTCGCCATGATAAAGTCAGACAGCCTCTCACCCTGTTCATTCCATTCTAGTCCGTGAGTCCCTATGTGACGCTCTTCAGACGTTCTTCTAGGTCCAATTTTTGCATTAAAATCTCCGACAATGACCTTGAAGAATGTATGATCTTCTCTGAAGAATTTTTCGAGGTCCATATAGAACGCTTCGACTTCGTCTTCGTCATAGCTTGATGTTGGTGCGTAAGCAACGAAGATGGTCAAAGCCGGCATAGAACCACATCGTTTCAACCGTAATCGTCCGATACGGGTTGTTAGTTGTTCGAACGAATCAATGTTCACGGTCAAATTCGATTTGACGAGGACGCCAACGCCGCCGACCCCTCTGCGATCGCATGTTCCAAGGAACAGTTCTTCTCCGGTGTCATAGACAGCGTGAAAAGGATGGCGCCTTCTCGTCTCAGCCAGGCCAATGACTCCTCATCATACCCATACAAAGGAACTCCACAAGGCGGCACTATGTCGTCAAAGGTGTTCACTGCTGCATACAATCGACAATGAATTTAGGCGACTGCAATGAAAAAAGTATATTTATTGACAAAAAATCCCTGTCAAATTTCCGTTTCGCGATTGACATCGCCACCTTTTTCCGAAACGTACCGGAGAAGCGGGGAAGTTGCTCAGTAAATTCAGTGAAGCGGGGAAAAATGGGCAGCGCTTAGATAACACGAAAAACAGTTTAGAAAGAACCCATGGTGCGAAGGTGAGCAAATTGATTTTCATTGGTTTCTGACTACGGAAACCAGTTCGTACGCGTATCTTGGACTTTCAGCTAACATGGAGAGAATGACATAGAAGAGGAATTAGTATACGAAGGAGAGCAGCATGGGTCATAATTGCGCCTTTCAAAAAAGTCACGGACCAATTTTCGGACTCCAAACTCACTCAGCCATTCGATTCAACAAATCTTTCAGCGTACTTCCATGCAGCAGAGACGTGGGGCTGATATCGTAATCACGTCAACGCATCTGCGCGCCACTCACAGAGCGCCTGAACGATGTCTTCCGGAGTTTAGTCGGCACGCGCGTCTAACCCGCTTACGCAGCTCAGATCTTCAGCCTATCCCACTCACGTGATCTAGAAATATTTACATTGTTAACTTAACCCAGATGAGTTCGTCACATGATAGGTAAGCCGATGACAGACTGGAGAAAAGAATAGGGGGGCGGACTCAAGAAAAAAAGGGGGCGCCCTCTTGCAAGACCACGAAAACTATGGGCAGTCGTGCTTGTGGATAATGTCAACTAAATGCATCCGCAGATGATACCGAATTGGAATCACGGCATGGGGCTCGCGTACGTCGCCATGTTCGAAATAAACCACCACGATGGACGACAATCAAAAGAGAAAGAAATGGAAACTGTGCTGGTGTTCGTAGTAACAGTGAAGACGGGACGTTGAAGTGTACATGCAAGTAAGCAATTTGTAAATTGATTCCATCAATCGATTTTGTTAATCTCATTTCATCTCAAGATGCAGAAATGAGCACGCTAGTCATAAAGCTGATTAGAAGAGACGAGTAGTATTTTAAAGCTTGCAAATATGTAGTGAAAGCACCGAAAAAGAATAACAACAGTTTTGACAGTATTAGCCCAGAGTATTAGCTCCTATCCAGTTATACTATTTAAGAAGTTGCACGGTGTCTTACTATTTATATGATACCACCTTTAACATTATGCATAATCGAGTCCATCATCGATAAACGTCTTCGCATCGCAACAACTTATTGGTTTTCTCCATGAATGTCTCGTTATACTGACATGTTGATCCTTTAGAGTAGTAGAGAAGTTTCCAAAGAAAACATTAGGACTATGAAATATCATGGTCTGATAGAAAAAACAGCTACTTTACAGACCTCCTGGCAAATGAAAATGAACGATAACTTCTAGTCAATGGCTTAATGATTTCGATAGCAATCAGGTGATGTTCGCATATAGAATGGATTTATTTTTGGTCGACGAGCGCTACCACATCTTTGCATTCGTTTCAACGCCTTCAAACGCTTTCTTATGGATCATCAAGGTCAAAATTAGAGGCATACAGTATTCTCGATAGAATTCAGTGATCCTTGACACGTTTTAGATGTGGTCCATACAATAATATCCTTTTCAAAATCGTGCTCGCTTAATTGGCTGTGCCGCATTCCGGGTTCTTCCACATGCGCAAAAGATGAATTTCGTGAAAAGTTTGTATAGTACGTTTAACAAGAATATTGGATGAGAACTGCAAGGAACTCTCCTGCCCTACTTCCGAGATAAGATGACTGCGCCTGAAGTCCTACAGTGACTGGGAATTCTACTTGTCAAAGGAATGATTTTATGTGTTCTACGACTAGTACATGGAGACTGCGGCAATCACTTCTAGGAAAATCGGTAGCTACATCATAATATTTTGGAGCTATGCCTCTTTTCATGCTATCAATAGAAGTTCGAAATTCAGAGACTAGAATTCTAAGTGTTATCTCACTAGTGTTGATTTCGGGGTCCGGGACGGGAGTTATGGAACAAAAAAGTTTGACCGATAACTTTTCAGTTATCAATTCCAAATTATGGACTATAGCTACAAAGATCCTAGCGGCATTTCCTCAGACTAGATCTTTTTTGATATACTTCTATTGGCTTTTTCTGTCTGTAATGATGTAAACCCTCTTGAAAGAATCTTCTATAGCTGGCATTTACGATCGCCTTAGTTAGGTGTATTGCAGAAGAATGACGCTCCAGTTCCTTTCCCTTTTCGAGCAACTCTTTAGTTGAGGTAGACATGCGATCTCAACTTTTGTTTGGAAAATTGCTAAGTTAAGCACTGGTTTTAAGTCCATCGGGAAGCAGCTCGCAACCGTCTGGTCGAATCTTCTTGTAACTGCCAGTACCACGAAGAGAGGATTATGCTGAAAACGTCCTCGCCCATACGCAGCTTGCTCTGTTATTCCTGGCCGTTGACAGCCCTGCTTTTGGCTTCATCGAATCTTCGCATGTAAGGAGCAGATCAGACCCCATGTAGAGGTCAGGCACCACTGAGGTGTCAAAAAAGCGCCATTTTCAATTTGTAAGTGTATAATCGATTTCCACATAAGTTGTGCATAAGTTGGGTGACTCCCATGTCCATAAGTAGTTCTCTCTGTTCCCCAAAAATGATAATCCATGAGTGAGAAATGTCGTGAACAAGCATCCTACGGTCTCCGTTCTCATTGCGCTCTTCCATTCCAAATTTTCCTACTGCGCATTCATTTTTACTGGCCGCTTCTAACCTCTAATCTAATTGAAGTCTCAAATATCGCATTTCTGGGAGGAAATTTCGTTGCGGATAACTTTCTTCAAGTTATTGTAGACCGCGTCTGTTTCCTTCGCATCAGCTGTATAAGTTCGTGAGTAGCAGCTGATGAAACCGATTTTCTCTTGACGCGAAAGTTAGAAGCGAAGGATAGCTAAGCGTAGTGATAGAACTTTTTACGAAAAGATTAGATGAGAGATCTATGGATGAACGACAAAGCTGGCGCTTCCGCTGTTTTGAAATGGAAACTATGTTAATTGTCTTATGTTGGTCTCAGCTCTCAGAGTTGCACTTGCACCGTCAAGGTATTGGAAGAGAACAACGACCCCATTACACTGTCAGTCCACAGCTCCCCTAACGTCATGCACATCTTGCAAAGTGCTTTTTTATTTATGTGATAATACCTCGTATATTATGCGCAACCCAGCCTGCATTCATAAGATCAGTTGAATCTCATTACTCATCGATGAAGGTGGACGCATTTACACTGTAGGTTACGCTATCACTTATGGGCTTTGCCTCCTTCGTAAATGCCCTCGATCCCCCATCAAGTAGCAGATTGACTGTTGATAGTGATTATCGAATAAAAACGTCTATTCCTTATTGAACGGTGCATCCTGCGGTCAAAAATGACTTTCAGGCAACACTCGAAATCTTAATCACCATTGTGCTTGTAGTGATATCGCATGAGATTTCAGTAAATGAACTGCACAATGGCCGTCCCGTAGTACCACTACAGATGCACTAAAAGCATCGAAATCTCGAATAAATGGTGGAACGACTAGTAAATATCTACAGTATTAGTCGTAACCCTCTCAGAAATAGAAATCATCTTCATAAGTCACGCATTTGTGAACTATATGGGTTGAAATAATTATATGGTCACGAGTTTTAGGAAGTGTTTTGCCCGTGTCATGAATTCTCGTCAATTTAACTCGCCCTAGATCTTGGAGGGCAGGAATGGAACCTAAAAGTGGCAAGGTAAACTCTCCTGCTGTTTGACTGATTCCTCTCATATTTTGTGGCACTAAGTTATCCTGGACGTAAAGTCTAAAACACAGTTGAGGATTTGAGTAAAATACAGCACTCTGCTCAGTTCCTTCAACTACACATTTTAGAATCAAGGAGTAACCAATATAACTGATCGTTTCTTTTCAAGCGATTTCTTAGAACCGCGCTCAAACTTTGATATGCCTAAGAATTATTCTCTGAGCCGTGCATGTGGTCTGTACTGAGATATGCACACACGTGTTTCGACCTTGGCAACATTGTCGGTTTAGCAGGCCCTTCGGCTTTTAATCAATCCACTCGGGGAACCTAACTCCCTACATAGAGTATGCGCTAACTTACTATTTACACGTTCTATATGCGAAAATGTCACTAAATAGGCAGTGTCATACACTCGATTGCTCTTGGCTGATATTGCGAAGTATATCGAACTTTCCGTTTCGACTGTCTTCCTAAGACCACGCTCAAATTTCAGTATTCCTGATAAGACCTAAGAGAATTGAGTGGTGAGCAAAAACGCGGCCTCAGGAGGGGATCGAACCCGCGTTTCATCCTATCTGGGAACGCGTGCTCTAACCAGTACACCGTCGAGGCACATTTGCCCGGCCACTCATTCTTCAACATCTCACTGTTAGCTATCAGCCACCAACCTTTGACAGGTGGCTAACATAACTAACATAGCCTTTGACCATAACTAACATTGAGATGTTGAAGAATGAGTGGTCGGGCAAATGTGCCTGGGTGGTGTAGTGGTTAGAGCACGCGTCCTCGGATGGGATGAAAGGCGGGTTCGATTCCCGCCCAAGGCCGAGTTTTTGCTCACCACTCAATTCTCTTAGGTATATAGCAAACATCATAACAATGCGAAATGCATCAAATTACTATTGATTCCTAGTATTACTGATAATAATTTTTTTGGGCCATGCATGTGGTCTGTTATGGACACTTGTACAGCCCAAGACACGTGTTTCCACCTTATCACGTTGGCAACGACGTTGAAATCCTGCTCGTCGCGCCCGCCACGTCGCGCCGACACATACGCGGCAGCAGCAATGACGTTGTGGTAGTTTTCTAATGGAAATATCGTTACTAAAAGAGATTTCGTCCGCATTAGATGATTAGATATGAAAGAAGAACCATCCACGAAAGTTCTTATTGTAGGAACAGTGGCAATATTTCCTACTAAAATTTCGAATCATGAGGTAAAGGGCAGATACGTAATATAAGATGATCTTTCAAGCTGTTACTGAACATCGATATGTTATCCTATATATACTCATTCATATTTTGGTCATATTCATCTTTTATTAACTACATCAACAGCAACTCATTTTCGTATAAAACCACAAATGAATTTTGAATGAATGGAAAGAAAATGAATGAATAGAACGTTGAAGTTCTTATGCGCCTAAGAACAAGTGGCGACTCATGACACTAAGAGCACTATTGCTTCTACCCTACGTATTTCTTTTCAATTGATTTCTCTCGAGACAATTTTTTGTGCCTCCTCCAGTTCCCATTTCTACGATTCACCTCTACAAGATCATGAAGGTAGTTAACAAAGTTTATCAACACATGAGAGACATGAGCCGCCCAGTCCTTTCGATGTCCGACTAGCTGCATGAGAAATATACATATTTCTTTTGTATATATATATCACCTGCATCACCTGTCGTCCCGTTGATCGTCGAGTGACTCGAGCGGGTACCAGCAACTCTTAAATTTTTCCCTATCGCGTGCAAGAGTAGCCCAGTGGGTCCTCCTCGCTCTAGGGATTCGCTGAGCATCATATCTTTCTTCCATCACTTTCGTGAAGAAATCGGACCAACGGGTCAGTGGTCTTCCTTTAGAGCGCTTGACGTCCCGAGGAATCCAGTCGGTAACGGCTCTCGTCCATCGGTTGTCGTTGAAGCGCATCACGTGTCCGACCCACCTTATTTTCGATATCCTGGCGTGTAGAACGGCGTCCCTGATTTTCGATCGTTGACGTAGGTCGGAACTTTGGATCCTTTGTCTCATTTGCGAGATACGGGATACTCCTAGCATCGACCTTTCGACTGCGCGTTCGATAACGGCAAGTGATCTTTCGTCCTGCTTACGTAGCGACCAGGTTTCTGCTGCATACGTTAGGGCATGGATAATTGTCGAGTCGAAAAGGTGGGCACGAAGTCGGATGTTCTTTGTCCTCTTCACTACATCTTAGATGCTCTTAAACGTTCCCCAAGCCGCTCGTTTCCTCCTGCTCAACTCTGGGGCTAGGTCGTTCATCATGTTGATTTCATGACCTAGATAGATGTAACTGGAGCATTCGGAAATTGTCGTTCCGTTGAGCATGAATGGGGCATTAGAAACCCATCCGTTCCTCATGAACTTTGTTTTCGTTAGATTCAGTTGAAGACCGACCTTTCCGCAGGTGTTATCGGAAGCAGTCAACATTCGTTCCACTTGGCTGATGTTTGGTGTTATGAGAACGATATCGTCAGCGAAGCGAAGATGGTTTAACTGTCGACCGTCAATTTTCACTCCCATTTCGTCCCATTCTAATGTTCGCATGACGTTTTGTAGGGTGGCAGTGAATAGTTTTGGCGATATTGTATCGCCTTGTCGAACCCCTCTTCTTACGTCAATGGTGATATTGTTGTAGAATGGAGATATTCTGGTCGTGAAATCTTTATAAAGCTCACGAAGGATCATTATGTACCGAGTAGGGACGCCCTGGTTATCCAGAGCCTCTATAACCGCTTCTGTTTCCACTGAATCAAAGGCTTTCTTCAGATCGATAAAAGTGAGACAGAGTGGTTGTTTGTACTCTCGCGAAACTTCAATGAGTCTTGTGATCGTGTGGATGTGGTCTATGGTACCAAATCCTTTTCTGAACCCTGCTTGTTCGCAAGGCTGTCCTTCGTCCAATGTTATGTCATTCCTGTTCAGGATGTCTCGAGTAAAGAGTTTATAGACAACGGATAGCAAGCGGATTGGGCGATCATTGCCTATGTCGCGAAGGTCTCCCTTTTTGAACAACAATACGGTCTTGCTGGTTTTCCATTGAATAGGGACCTTGCATTCTGACAGGTAGCGAGTGAAGAGCCGAGCCAGGGTGTTGATGAGAACTGGCGGCAGGTTCTTCAGGTGTTCTGGTCTAATCCTGTCTGGAGCGGGTGCTGTTCTGTTTTTCACCGACGATATAGCATGTCGGATTTCGGAAGGAAGGACCGGTGGAACGACATATTCGTCCTCTTTCAATTTATATGACGGTAAGAGAACATGGCTAGCGAAGAGATCCGAGTAGTATTGGTGGATGATTTTCTCCATAGCTTTTCTGGAAGCTGTAAGTGTCCCGTCAGGATATCGGAGTGCAATCATCTTGGTCTTATAGTTAGCGAAGCCTCGCTGGGCTTTGCGAATGCTCTTCCCAGCTTCTGCAGCTTCTGCCATAACTGCTGCTCTTCTCTCTTCAAAGTCTTCTTTTATCGCTTCTCTGCATCGTTTCGCAAGTTCGGACGTAAGGTTTCGGTTGCCCGCAGCTCGTGCGATTCCACGTTGACGTATCAGCTCGAGTGTCTGCGGAGACAAGCGTCTCTTCGTGACTTTAGGACTCTCGGCTTTTTTAGCGCTAACGTGAAGATATTCAACGAGTCGATCGTATTCTTCGTCGATGTTGTCGACAACGGTATCTTCCCAAGAGCCGACTAATGATTTGAATAAATCCCAGTTTATGGTAGTTCTGGGACTTCGTTGTTTGAATTTAGCGGCTTTCTCTCCTCTCCTCGGAAATCGGAATGTTGCGCGAAGGAGGCGATGGTCTGATCCCGTGTAGAACTTGGGAACGACAGCGACGTCGGTCAGGCAAAACCTTCGATTTACTATGATGTGATCTATTTCGTTATGGTACTCTCCATTGGGAGACTCCCACGTCCATCGCTGAGAAAGAGGCTTTTGGAATTTCGAGTTACCATGGATGGTGTGGGTCGTCATGATAAACTCGGATATCCTCTCACCCTGTTCATTCCATTCTAGTCCGTGGCTCCCTATGTGACTTTCTTCAGACGTTCTTCTAGGTCCAATTTTTGCGTTAAAATCTCTGACAATGACCTTGAAGAATGTATGATCTTCTCTGAAGAATTTTTCGAGGTCCATATAGAACGCTTCGACTTCGTCTTCGTCATAGCTTGATGTTGGTGCGTAAGCAACGAAGATGGTCAAAGCCGGCATAGAACCACATCGTTTCAACCGTAATCGTCCGATACGGGTTGTTAGTTGTTCAAACGAATCAATGCTCACGGTCAAATTCGATTTGACGAGGACGCCAACGCCACCGACACCTCTGCGATCGCATGTTCCAAGGAACAGTTCTTCTCCGGTGTCATAGACAGCGTGAAAAGGATGGCGCCTTCTCGTCTCAGCCAGGCCAATGACGTCGTACCTTATTCTTCTTGCTTGAATCAACAGATCTTCTATAGCGGATTGTTGAGCAAGGGTTCTTGCGTTGTAGGTACAGATCGTCATTTTAGTCCGTTTCGATCTTGGCAGCCTAGTTCGGCCCTGAGATTTTAGCAGCCTCTCCGTACTCGTCCTACCTGGCGCTGCCGTACCAGGGGCTCTTTCGGGGTCAGGGGAATGAGGCCCATATTTGTTACTGTTCTTGGCATTTTGATACCCAACGTGTAGCTTGCCAGGCTCTAAACGTGGGGGCTGGGTACTCACGAGTAGCTTGCCATTCTCTCTCGGAGGAGCGGGAGGAGCTTATTTGTTGGAGGCGACTCCTAACCGCCTCCCATGTACTTCCCAGCCGCTTGATTGAAGGCTTTTGGCCGACTTGACTCGTAGAAATAGAGTTTTTGTCACGTCGGCGCTGCAGAAGCAGGGAGCTCGTCCCCTGAATCCACCTGCTTCTCTGGGAAGCACACGGTCGCTTTTGGTTCGCGTTTTATTCCCCTATCCACCACCTTGGGACGTGCCACGTGCCCTCGCGACTAACCGGGCGGGATCCCTCAAAGAGGGAGGTCCGTGGTATATATATATATATCTTGTGGTAGACATGTATATATATATATATATATATATATATATATATACATGTCTGCCACAAGATATGTTGTATATTGCTGTGGAAGTTGTTATACATTATATGCAACATATCTATGAAGAGAATTTATGACAGACTATGGTAATGCCGATAACCAGAAGTGTTGCACGGAAGTTTGCCTAATAAATTTTGCACTTCTCGGGCGTGAGACTTTAGTGGAACTTTATGAACTGTTTATGAAGGACGTTTGGGAGTTGATTGTTGAGCAGACCAATATATATGGTCATCAAAAAAAGGAAGGATGGAAAGACTCAACGATTGAAGAAATGAAGATATTCTTCGGCTTGTGCCTCAAAATGACCATTATACGATTGCCAAGGCTCTACGATTACTGGCGCAATAGCCCGCATTTTTCAGGAGTCTCTATGCGCTGCATCTTATGTCGAGGGATCGCTTCTTCGAGATCATGACCCACTTGCATGTAAGCAACAATATGAGTCACGATGTGAATGACAAGTTATACAAAATAAGACCAATGCTTGAACTTATCAATAAGTATTGCGAGGGC